GTTGACAGATCAGGATCTTCCAGCAGAATAATCCATCATCCAAGTGGATTATTGGAAACATTTATAAATATTCCTTTCGGAGAACCTCACACCATAGGTTTTTGTTCTTCCATTAATTATATGTATACATCAATATGTCGTCTTGTTATTATTGATATATTACTGATACCCAGTTATGGTTGTCTGAATGTCTCACCAAATCTGAAAATTGTGTGCCATGAGTCGGTAAGAAGCACTGTATCATTTCAACCGTAGGTGATATAAAATAATATGTTAAAGGTGTAGCCCTAGTCAAAGATCGTGTAGGAAACGTCTTGGGCTAACAATGCCCGGATGAACCAAGATACTGACACATAAATCATATACGTTTGGGAGTGTGGGCAATTTGAAGTCTGCTAGAAGTAAATACACAACGTTGTTTGTTCAAGCAAGTCCATTTCGGAATGTGGTATATTTTGCTGAGTTACTAATCTCAACGAAGGTGTGCTGATTCGTGGTTAACATACTGATTATTCGGATGGGAAAGCCATTGGATCAAAAAAAGAACATCCAGCACAAAACATAAAACGTAGAAGCAGCTTTTATGCTGCACAAATTTGTTGCTGTGCGAAATTGGGGTAGTTGTAGAACATGAGATTAGGGCAGTCCTTCATGAGGGCACGATCTTGGGGGGTGCGGCCGGGATCATGTGAAGCAGCTATTGGAATAATGAACAATACAACAGTATCTATGTAAGCATCGAAGAGGGGGAGAGCATGCATTGCCATTTGCCAACGGTAGCAGGTCACGGTACCTCGTATCCCACCAGAGAGCTCTGGTTGGAAGTGGAAGTACTCAAATTTCCAAGCAAAAGAAACCTGATAGTGTGATTAGTCCACAGAAGGATACTAGCACGTAGTCAATAGAAATTAGTTTATCTGGTGATGGATTTATTAGAGAGACTAAAATACCTAGCACGTTTGTTTTCTCTCCCTGTTTCAGACCAAAGGCATTCCTTATGTTGTCCTTCATACTTCAGCTAAAGTTCCAACGTTTTTGTTCCTTTTTTTTTTCTGTTTGCTTGTAGGGAGTAGGAGGGGGGATGGTTAAGAGGATCTGAAACAATAGCAAGAGAGAGAATGAAATGCTAAGCCATTATTATTAGCATGAAAATTACAACAAAGACAGCTTCTAACAAGCTTATACTGAGCAAGTGGACTATTTTTGAATGTTCCACAATGGGAAACTAAGCAATCTAATCTCTTTTGCATCATCACTGTGACCAACATCTTCAAAATCCTGAGTCGCATCTTTTCCTGCATAATTAGTTGTTCATATTGGTAACAATATCAATAAGATGAATGAACCCAGGCTAAAGAAATACAATGTGCTAGAATTGTTGGAAGATAGCACTGACATCATCTTACCGCTAGCAGCAAGCAAGACTTCATCTCCTCCAGGATGCTCCTCCAAGAAAGGGGTTACATCATACACCTGATACAATAGGATGAAAAGAAAATAGGTAGGGTAAGTGAACAATCAAATCAATTGCTGCCTCACTCGTGGCAAAGTTGAAATTGACTTCATTCTACTAATTCAGATAGAATTATCCAATGTGGACAGCCAACGAAAACCGGAATTCTATCTCATAATCACATGCCATGAAAATGTCAGCTAATCTAAGCTAAGATGTGCGGAACCTAATCATCCCTGATGTTGATTGCCCCTATGAATATTCAATAAGCGGTCGTTTGTAATATTATTAGTAAAGGTATTTAGAAAATTTTGCACATATAATTTGCTTGCCCTAATTATACTCATATATATGGCGGGCCACCAGTCGTTGGTAATCATCTTTCATTAGTGAAAAATCTGCAGCGACTACAAATTTAGCTCCTCGGCTGATGCTGGCCAGTCATTTGTAATCATCTTTCATTAGTGATAAATTGTTTGATAAAAAGGTGATTACAAACTTCCATTAGGAACCTCTAGCAGGGGGTTATCTGATGTCTAATTTAACTAGGTGATCTTACAATATACTCTAGTTAATCATTGAATTCCAGGGTAATAAAAAGTACGAGTCTCAGTCTTCAAATTTAGCTGCATTTTATGATTCAGACTTTGAGCAGAAGAAATCAACACAAAATCAGGAAAACTGGACTAAGGATGTAGGAAAGATAGTAGCAAGACAGTCAAGCGAATTGAAATTGATGATTTCTCCAAATGTGCAGTCTGCAGTGGTATTAATGGGAACCAAAACTGAACTGGTAAAATAAAGAGACTTTGTCTATTGAAGTTCAAATGGCAGTTGAAACAATGGCGGAGAATTAAAGAGAATAGCAGATGAGGCAATGATTAATATAGTCACAAGTGTCTAACAGAAGATATCATTATCATTAGAACCTAATGTCAAAATCAAATGATGAAGCTAATGGAGGTTGGCAGGAGTTGAGTTAAGAGCATTATGCACAAATGGTAATGAAAAATTGTAGCAACGAACAAGCAGAGAAAGGTTAAGGGTCATCACCATCATCAAAGATATAATCTAGCACAATGAACCAATGAAAAAAAATGGCATCAGTTTAATTCAATTCAATAAGAACGAAGTACAAGTTCGGAGACCTAATGGCTGACAGAAGACCAGTACTTCAGCGAAATGGCTTACATACCTCAAAATATGCTACGTTCCATTGAAAGCAAGATCTGTTAAACGCTAACCGGCGTCAGACCAAATTGTCTGTATTCATACAAAAGCGTAAACGCATAGATACATCTGGCAACCCTTTCGTATGAAGTTTCTAAAGAGAGACTTCCACATTACGTTACCTGAAATATTAAGAGAAAAATGTTAAAAAATGTGAAGGTATCTAAACAAAAATTTTAATTCAAATTTTCTTATTTTTAATTTTTTGAGTGTTCATGGACACTCCACTCCACGAGGATCCGCCAGTGACAAAGAGACCAATGGAGAAAAGAAGTACTTGGTATGGGTTTGCAACTATGGCTACTTTGGTGCTCTCTTAAAGCTGCATTGGAGAGGTCTTTCATCACTCTTTTCTTTTTATTTTCTGAAACGAAGAGTAAGACACCGGGTGTGAGTGAACTGAAAGTTGAAACTTCAAAATGCAATTTTTCTGAGAGCCATTTTGTTGTAGAAATAAACAAGCAAACACTGCCGAGGTTCTTCCTTGAGTCAAGTTGGGCCACAGCCTTAAAACTCTTTTAAAGATTACGGTCCAGCCCACAGGAAATTGCAAGATCTTTTTTTTTTTTAATTTGATCCATATACTAGGATGAGAAATTGTTAATAGTAAATCAAAGTGTGTGTGGACGCTAAACTAGGCCGTTTAACAGTATGCGAATGCTAATGGTGAAACCCGGTACGGAACCCAAGAAGTTCCCCAGACATCAGAATGTAAGGTCTCTGTCGTCCATAATATAACAAAAAGAATCTCAGGCCTCGTTTAAATCCCCCTGATTCCATAATTGCCCCCTTCGGAAGATGAAAAATTCTGTTCTCCCTTCGTTTCATTTTCCAACGTCCAATTAAATAGAAGAGTAACGGTCTATATTTTGCTATCAATTTATTGTTGAAATCACTCTTAGGTATACACAATCTTTAACATAGGGTTTCCAAGAAAGAAATAAACGAAAATTTATCTTTATCTGCTGTAGGTTTTATATAAATTTGAATGGTATCTCAAACCATATGCTATTTGGTCAATTCCAATGGTAAGGGTTCCTGCAAATTATAGCTTCTCCCGCTGTAATGTATACAGTATGGTCATTCTTTGCTTGATTTTTGTCCGGTAAGAATTGATCAATTGATATTTAAGTTTCTCATTTACCATTGTCTGCTTTCTTTTATACTAGTAAGCTGTGCTTTTGTTTGATTTTTTTACTAAAAACAGTTCCTTCACTACATACACATATCACCTATGTAATTACTGGTAGAAGGTGAGGCTTACTGCCAAAAATATTCTAAAGTCTGATGTACAAACAGTAGAAACAAAGATGTTTTTCTATGTAATTATATTCTAAAATGTAGTATTCCAATTTTAACAGAATTATAAAAGTGGATTCAATCAAGAAGAAAAAGGGAATTGTGAAGGCCAGGATTTGGGAAGCCATTGCTTCTGCAGTTGGAATGACAAAGCTTGTTGTTCTAGTTAAATCGAAAGAAGCAAAACTTGACAATTTGACATTTGCTGCAATTTTGAAGTCTTCTTGGTTTTTAACAGGCTTCCACCTACTAATTGTTTTGGAATTCCAGTTCTTTCATAACAAACATTGTCTGGAATGCAGAATGTTCTAGTGTAGTACTAAAAGATACTTAATTTGGATGTACTTAAGGATACTGGTTGTTTTCCCATTTTCTTTCTGTCACATGTTGCTTCTTCAGGTGCTACAAGGCCTATATTTGTCTTTACAATTAGTGGAGACTCCTTTTAGGCAATGAATCTAGAAGAAAATTAGATAAAACACAAAGACATTATGGAAAAGATACGGATTTTCAGGCAAAGAGTTTTTTTCTTTTTTGTCAATTCAACTTGATATGTAACTGTTAATTTCGCATTAATTTTTGCATGTTGGCGGTGGTTTTTACAAAAACTTAGTACCTAGGCGTCAAAATGTTTAATTCTGAAGCCAATAATTAGTTCGTCCATAAAAGGAAAAGACTCGAATGATTCAGTTATTTACGCTTATTGCTTTTATAATTATATGTACATGCTCTGTTTTAGTTTCAGAGAGGACAGGGTAAGCTTATTTGCTATGCTATCCACAAAGCTTCATAATTCATTTCATGAACTGCTTCTGAATATCTGCAAAATCACAAGGCTAAGCTACCTGTCCTCATTATACTCAAAAAAAGGTACTTATCTTTACTGATTATTCTTTTTCCTTATTTCCTAACCAGTCCCGTTGAGTCTCTTGCAGGATGAAACAATTGAGCAAACAACAACAAAGACACCACTAAAACAACAAGGAGAAGGAAAATAAAGAAATGATTGGAAAGAAAATAAAAGAAATGATTGGGATATCATTTTTGAGCAATCTCGCAACTCCTTTAAAGTTCTACTTGAATGAGCAATGGAAATGGTCATAGGTCTTGTCTGAGTGAACTCCTTGTTCAATCTATCTCACAGACTCTTCCAGTCTCAAAAGCAAATATTTACACATACTGTTCAATTCTATCTTTTCATCATACAGAAGAACTGTCTGAAGGCATCCTAAGCCCTATCTGCCCATGATTTCAGAGTAAAATGTGAATTCCAATTTGATCTCCTGGCCAAAAGTGGTACAAACCAGGGAAGCTGAAATTAGATTTGAGAGATAGGATCAACTGAATTTAGATATTGTCAGACCGCGAAATTTAGTTCTCATCATCTAAATTCAATGGTACATATTCAAGTGTTCCCCTCTCCCATTTCCTCTACTTGCTACTTTGCCCCAACACTCTCTTGGGTTGTGTACAGAAGGAAAATTATTTGCATACATACTCCTCCAACTTTTTGTTTATTTCATTTGTTCAGGACCAAAAATCCCACCACTGATAACCACTACTGGACTGATCAAAGAGACCATCAGAGTCAAAACTGCGCCAATCTTCTGAAGATGTTAAAGAACCATCAGCTGGTTCCACCATGCTTACAAGGTTGGCCTCTTCTTCCAGTCTAAAATAGTCTGTCTTCATGGCACTATCATCATCCGACAGGACTCCCAGCGCATGTTCTGATCTTTCCATTGACAAACTGAGCTGCCCTTCAGAATCAGACTTGACAGCCTCTCCCTTATCTGAGTCTCCGTCGATGCTGTTCATTGTTGTAACTTGTCCGCAACACTTGCCTTCGTCTTTTGGCTTCTTAAGTAAATCGTTCAGCTTCTGCAACTGTTAAATAAGATTCGAAAATATCTTTGTTAGTGCCTTTATAAAGCTTCATTGCTTTCTTTGTATGCAAACTAGGTGATTAAGTTAGTTTAGTACCTGAATCACCAAGGCCTGCTTTTCTTTCTTCAGATTTTCGAACTTGGAAGCTAGATTGCTGTAATTGGCTTGTAGGATGCCGTAATCTCGTTCAAGCTGCTTCGTTTTCCACCTAGCTCTCTTGTTCTGGAACCATATTGCAACCTGTCGTGGCTGCAACCCCAACTCTCTTGCCACCTGCAACTTCTTCGGTGGCTCAAGCCTGGATTCCGATTCAAACATCAATTCCAACGATTTGATTTGTTCATCGCTGAACCTCCTCCTGTTCTTGTTCTTCTTCTTTTTGGTTGTTGTAACTTCAGTCATGCTGGAAAAAGGCTCTGCCATCCCCTGAGTATATTCTCCCCCATCTAACATCTTTTCCAGGATTACTCTTCCTAACCTGCTGGAAATCTTTGTCCTTCATATACAAGCTGATAAGTACTACTACTTCTAAACGGTGGTGAAAAAGGGAATGTTTTTTGGAACCAAAGTATCTCCTTTGGATTTGGGTCTGAATGGATTTGGAATTGCTACTACATGCTTTATATCCCAGTCGATGGATCTCTGATAAGTGATAACGTATAGTACTTTTCCTCTTTTGCCTTGTGAACATTACCAATTTTCCTTTTCATGACTCCTTTTAGTTTTTTATTTATTTTTTCTTTTTTTTTAATATTTTATTTGATTAAGCCGAGAAAAAGTTAGCTGTGAGAAAAATTAGGATAGAAAAAATAGGGGTTCATGTCGGCCTTAAGTCCAAGCCGTCTTATTTCTTAGCCCTTAGCCCTTAGCCCTTATGGCTAGCCTATTATCTAATTTTAATCATGTTTTAGCATGGCTTCACATTCTAGAGATTGCCCGCTCCATACTTCATGGTAAAATTATTAAAATGTATATTGTCAGTATCATAATCGTCACAACTTCATCTAGCATTTTTTTTTAATCATAAAGTGTCGGCTGCATGAATCACGTTTCACCACTTAAAATCAAATTCCATCTTTAATTTTATGTACAGATATTACAACCAACTATAAATTCATGTTTCTTGCAGAACATGCCCTGACTATCATCGTTTCTCCACATTTCTTGGCCAATTCCATGTTGATTTCAAATTTCCTTCGTCTCATCAGTTTTTTCATCTTAATAGAAACCGTCCGGGGCTCGAGTTCTCAGCTAAGCCATTGATTAAACCAGCTCGAGCCAGGGGAGTGCTACCGTTGAGTCTTTGTCAAAAGAGCAGTCTCAAACTCAAAGTACCCACCTTTGATTTTCCATATAAAAGAACAATTTTAGATAACCCTTTCCTCTATCTAAGAAAAACATTCAAATAAACCAAAGAAATTCAATGAAATACTTCTACTAATATTCTTCCCCAATAAAAACAGTTGCTTCGGGACAAGTACTTTCACCAGTCACACGTTTTCCAATCAACACTTGCCATCCGCCATCGGTCAAAACTTCTGAATCCCGTTACGTCGTCTTTTTCTCTGGAGCTTTAGTTGCCCCGCGGTGACGTGTCGCGAAATTTGTGGTTCAACGTGGGAATAGATTGCGCTTGATGACGTGCCCAAGCTTTGTTCAATATCGTAGCTTATTGAGAGTCTGCATGTGGGGACGAAGCTTTCTAAGTACAGGTGTCTGTCTCACTTTGCTTTTTACTACGCCCTGCCTGCTTTCCACGTGGTATGCAGCAACAATATTTTTCCTCTTTTTAAGGCCATCATCATTTTGTGCAAGTTAATGTGAGCAACAGTTGAAGAATTTAATGTAATGTTTAAATTTTAAAATTTGCAATATAATATTTAAAATTTAAATTTATTAATTAATATAATATTTTATTTAAATGTGATTAATATCAAATTAATCAATAAATAATTTTTAAATATTAATTAATAAATTTATAATTCAAATCATATATTAAATTAAAATTTTTTAAAATTTAAATGTTACATTAAATATTTTAGAGTAATTTAAAAATTATTCATAACATTAATTTTTAGTCTTTTAAACGATCAAATATTTAAGAAAAAATGGAAGCAGAAGTACCAAGTACAAGCTAAGAGAATACAAGTTTTTCTTTCTAGAATTTCCTAAATTAAAAATTAATAATAATAATATTTTTATAATAAACATTTAATGTTATATTAATTAAAGTATTATAAGACTAGAGAAAATAAAAGGAAAAAAAAGAGTTTTGTAATCGTGGTAAGTTAGTGATAGAGACTGTATTTGATAATGACTTGAAATTTTATTTGTATTATGCGAGACTGTCATTGCTTGATTAATAGCATTTTCTTCCGTCTGGGTAAGATTAATACAATGAACCAATCTATAACCTTAGAGTGGCAAAATTAATGAGTATATCAAAATCGAGTTAAAGAGGGGATGCTAAAGGGTCAAGGGAATTACACTTGGTTGAGAAAGCTGGCACTTTTGGTCACTTTAGCAAAGGTTAAAGGTCAAGCAAAGACGGCTACCGTGGCAAGATTGACTGAAAATGAGAGGGACTTTTAGGTATGTTGATGCCCATAAACCTGAAGGATGAGGAAGATAGAAAAGATTACATTGCAGTCATAGTCAAGGAGTTTTGTCGCTTTGAGTTTAAGGAAGTTGTTCAAAGCAATGCAAGTTACGGAGATGGAATGAATTTCATTGTAGATGAATAGTCGTAAGCTGTCAATGTCAAATGATTAATGCATCCGATGATAAGTATTACTCCTTGTCCGCTTTCGATGGCATTCACGGCGGTGGCTGTGGACTGGATAATGGATATTGCCTCCTTGTTCTTGTCCACCCTCTGGGCAAAGCTTGGGCAAGGCAGGGTCCATAGGCTTAGCTTTTAGAATGATTAGAAATGACCCAAATTTAGCCATTTTTGTTTTTGGGCCATTAGAAAACTGTGGGTTGGAACTCATGGATCAAACTGGCATCTTCAAAAGTGGTCTACAAAAAAATAATAAAAAAAAGAATTCATCTCTATTAATTGTAATAATACTTAGATAAATCTTCAAACTTTATTCTAAAATGTAAATATGTCTTCAATTTTTTATTTTATAAAAGTAAAGTTATGAATTTTATATTATTGTAACTAAAATCTTTACGGTATAAAATATTTAATTTTTGGTTTAAATTTTTTTAAAATAAATGATTTATTTTATAAAAAATATTTATTTAGATTCACTTAAATAAGTTCGATGATAAATGTTTAAGATAATAATTTTTTAAAAATTCTATAAATTGAATATTATTCATTTAAGTCACAAACCATTTTATCAGACGTAGAGACGTACACTCTCCAGGCGTTGAAAACCTCAAACCAACCAAAATTGATCCTTGATTTTTGGTCTCGAGGAAGGACTGGATATTAGGAATGACCTTAGCTGAGGCCCAACAAGCTCCAAAGATGAATTAGGTAACATATCACCAACAGAACAAACTGTCTTTTATCTACCTCATAGGCTTATATGGCTTTACTCATATGCTGATGCTACATTTTACTCGTATACAATGCAAAAGCTTCAACTTTGAGCAAAAGCAGGGTGGGTCCATAGGCTGACCTTTTATAGAAGTGGCCCAAATTTAGCCATTAGAAAAAAGTAAGCTGAAACTCATGAATCAAACGGGTATCTTCAAACTTGTAAGTGGTCTAGAAAATGAATAAAAGAAAAATAATTCATTTGATCTACTATTTGATCTGTATACCGTATCCAACCCTTTCAATACTTTTAGGTATGAAAATTTAATGCTTTAGCTTGTTTTCTCCTCATTTCCAAGACCCCCATTTATCAGCATGAATGATGTTCACGAGTTGTGAATTAGTTCATCGACCATATAGAATCATTCATTGTCCTGTGCTTTTATCTAATTCGAATAGTCAAACTTTCTTTCTCGCTCTTTTTTTTTTTTATGAAAGAGGTGAGAGGAGGGGAGATGCTGCGGGTGGGCTGGAAACCAGGAGGAGGAACGCAAAGGAAACAGGTGAGCTGGATGCTGGTAGTGAGAAAACAAAGATAAGAAAACAAAACAAAACAAACAGAGAGGTCTTTATGTACTTACAACTTTCACTAATTACAATGCTACAGCCTATAGGGGAAGTAGTTTAATTAGGGGAGAGGGGTTGTAATTTAAAATAAACCAGAAAATATTTTTCCTTTTTTGTTTCAAGATATAGGGGCGAGAGTGGTGTAAGAGAAGATTGAAAAAAGTTTTGTCCACTGAAATTTCTACAATCAGCAAATACATCCCACGTAGGCTCTCCCTTTCCTTTGTACGTTGGTTTTGCTTTATAAAGTATCTTCCTTTTCTCGATTCAGACACCAAATTGACTTCGAGTAGGGAAAAGCTCCTAAAGTATGCTTAAAATTTACCTTCCTTTTTCAACTGCTCCTCTCTTACTTCACCTTTTCTCAATGGCGTAGGACTCAAAAAGAGGGAGAGGAAAGAGAGAGCAAGAGCACGTGACCATGCATATGGAGAAGAGTGAACTTGTTAAAGCCAGCCAGGTGGGAGTGTTGGTACAAACTAGAAATCAAAGCTAAGCTAAGGCCTGTGAAAAAAAAAGGGTACCTTACCTTTGAGTGTCTTTTTTTTTTTTTAATTTTAAATTTTGTTTGGTTTTGTAATGAAAAACTCATGCATTGCAACGGTCATTGATTATTATTACTATTATTATCGACAACCTGGGCTGGAGATGCAGGATTTGACATTTACGTGTTGTTTCTTTCCCACTTTCTCTCTCTCTCCATACCCCCCTCTTTTTCACACAATTTTCAAGACTGTAAAGCGTTGAAATCTGGAGCCAGTATCGTCCTCTCCGTTTGTCACTCTGATGTACAGTTGAGAGTGAGAGAAAGAGAGAGAGAGAGAGAGAAAATGGTGGAGCCTTTTGCTGTGGAGGACATAGAGATGGCAGCACATCTTCCGGGCACTCCCTTTAAATAAAAACAAAGCCGATAGTGTTCACCAAGGCGCCAACTCTGTTACCATTCCCATCAACTTCAAATTACCCTAAACCCACAACAATTCTACTAAAGTACTGCTAATAATTAATTTTGACGTTTTTTAGCTTGTTTGAATTCACATTACAGTTGATCAAAACCCTAAGCATCATTCAATTAAAATACTTATTACCTTTTCCAGAGATTTGTTGAATTTATTATGATTACTAGCTATAAGTGCATGATGAATTGAAGAGTTAGTTATTTCTGAATTGGTTTTCTGTGGATTAGGTGCACGTGGAATTTAATTGACATCCGGAAATGTACAAAGAAACATTACTGTCATATTTGCCAGCTAGATTTCCCACAATTAAGTGATTATTAATTATGCGAGCAGTGATTCATAAAACTCTGCAATGGGAACAGTAAATGGAGCAGTAGCAAGTTGCAGCATATGTAATGACAGCAACTTTCTACGTTCACCACCATAAACCACAGCATCCCTTTCGGCTCTTCAGCTTCAAAGTTTCAAATATGCCCACCAACACATTTGAATTTGTCGTCCAAAAAATGCCAAACCCCCAAATATTAATCGGCCCAGTTGTATATGTGCAAAACAAAGCCTGCAACTTGTGGTTAACGTT